GCACACTGCCCGTTCTGCATTGCCGTCATCGGAAGCCCGCCCCTCAGCGGGGCGGGCTTTCGATGATCGCAAGTACGATCTGCCGTCCAAGGTGGGCAGATCGTACGGGCTTTCAAGAAGCATACGACCATCGCAAGACTAAAGTCTTGCGATGGTCGTAAGGTGTATGGGCACCTTTAGACTCTTTCAGGGAATTGGATGCAAACCCCCGGCCTGTTCCTTTCCTGCAAAAAAAGCTAATTTACAAGAAAACTTTTTACCTTATTTTTGTCATTTTTATTTTTGTATCCTGAAGTTATCTGTACCTGTTTGACATTCTGTGCATTATAATATCTGTAATTCTAGAAAATATATTTGATATTTTACTTTGCTTTAGATATAGAAAAATGATTGCCTAATATTTTCACCTATACTTTCTGATCTTTTTAGGACTGCTTCAATGGTTTCAGCCAAGAAGTCTTAAAAGGAGTATACAAACGAAACTATGCGTAAGTGTTGTCATGCTTATTTCTTACATTTTCCGCCTTCCTAATCCTGTTCATTTGAAAATGGATTTACGCTTTTCGTTTGCATATAATTTTTTAAACTTTTTTTTTTTTTTTAGTTTCTGCACCTGTTATGAGAAACGTGGAGAATGGTGACTTCTCCTTATTGAATATTTACATAGCTTTGCCTTTTCATGCTGGCTATTTTGATTTATTTGAGTCATTGACCTGGAGAGAGCGTGGTTGGGAATGGTTTTCTGCCTTTCTTGAACTGCTCACTTTCTCAGGTTAAAGTATTGAACATCTCTTACCCTCTGGAGCTCTGCTTCTGCTGCACACAGACGCATGGGATGGAAAGACATAAAAATCAATACATACAGTGGGGCAAAAAAGTATTTAGTCAGCCACCAATTGTGCAAGTTCTCCCACTTAAAAAGATGAGGCCTGTAATTGGCATCATAGGTAGACCTCAACTATGAGAGACAAAATGAGAAAACAAATCCAGACAAATCACATTGGCTGATTTGGAACAAATTTATTTGCCAATTATGGTGGAAAATAAGTATTTGGTCACCTACAAACAAGCAAGAGTTCTGGCTCTCACAGACCTGTACCTTCTTCTTTAAGAGGCTCCTCTGTCCTGCACTCATTACCTGTATCAATGGCACCTGTTTGAACTTGTTATCAGTATAAAAGACACCTGTCCACAACCTCAAACGGTCACACTCCAAACTCCACTATGGTGAAGACCAAAGAGCTGTCGAAGGACACCAGAAACAAAATTGTAGACCTGCACCAGGCTGGGAAGATTGAATCTGCAATAGGCAAGCAGCTTGGTGTGAACAAATCAACTGTGGGAGCAATAATTAGAAAATGGAAGACATACAAGACCACTGATAATCTCCCTCGATCTTAACTACCTCCCGGCCAGCCGCTGTATATACACGGCCGGCCGGGAGCTTCTTGGATGTAACTGGGCGTGTATACACGTCCTGTTACATCCGCCCGCGCGGGCGCACCGCAAACGAGCGGGAAATGCCCGTTATTTGAAAAGAGGCAGCGATGCCCGTTAATATACAAGCCATCTGCCGGCTATAGAGCCGGCGGATCGCTTGTATGAGGCCCCGAGACGTGCGGCTCCCCCCTCCTCCCGCTGTCAAGCTGGTCCAGGGTTCCGGTGTGAGCCCGGGACCAGCATAGTGCCTCTGTCACAGGGGATCAGAGGGAGCTTGGTACACGACCTCCCTCCGGTCCCCTCTCCGCTGTCAGAATGCGAAGTGGTGTATATTACATCACTTCCACATTCTCGTGTCACTCTCCAGCTTCAGATGCTGGAGAGAAGCTGATGAAGCAGATCTCTGCTTCTTCAGGAGGGTCCTAGGTGACAGGGGTCTTGGAGACCCCCTGATGTCTCCATAAAGAGGACCTGTCACCTCTTTTGCTATCACATAAGGGGGTTTCTCAGCCCCCTCTGTGATGGCAATAAAGTTAAGTTGGAAAAAAAATGTAAGTTTCCCCCCAATTTTTTTTAAAAGTTACACAAAAAAGAATTTTAAAAACTTTTTAACCCTTTCGCTGCCAAGGACGTACGGCATACGGACCTACAAAAGTGCTTCCAGCTGGCCAGCTCAGTATGCCGTACGGACCTAGCATTTACAGTTCTACTATAAGCTGATGGTCGCTTTAGCGACCATCAGCTTATAGTAGAACTGTTCAGCAGACTGTCCCCTTTAAATTAATAGCTGTCTCATCAGCGGCTCACAAGCCGCTGA